GAGAGAGAGAGAGAGAAAGAAAGAGAGGGAGAGTAAAAGAAAGAGAGAGAGAGAGAGAGAGAGAGAGAGAGAGAGAGAGAGAGAGAGAGAGAGAGAGAGAGAGAGAGAGAGAGAGAGAGAAGAGAGAGAGAGAGAGAGAGAGAACAGAGAGAAGAAGAGAAAGAGAGAGAGAAGAGAGAGAGAGAGAGAGAGAGAGAGAGAGAGAGAGAGAGAGAGAGAGAGAGAGAGAGAGAGAGAGAGAGAGAGAGAGAAGAGAGAGAGAGAAGAGAGAGAGAGAGAGAGAGAGAGAGAGAGAGAGAGAGAGAGAGAGAGAGAGAATAACAGAGAGAAAGAAAGAGGGAAAGAGAGAGAGAGAGAGAGAGAGAGAGAGAGAGAGAGAGAGAGAGAGAGAGAGAGAGAGAGAGAGAGAGAGAGAGAGAGAGAGAGAGAGAGAGAGATTTGATTTGATTTGATTTGATAACATTTATTTACAGAACAGTGTACATGCCCTGCAAAAAGCCCAGGGTAAGATACCAAAGCATCTATCCAAACTGGCTGTGCTGCTATTTGTGTAGAGGGCCATTGGTCAAACAGTGTTACATACATGCCTGAAGGGCTGTTCTATTATCACAATATTAAAATATCATCTGACTGGTAAAAAACCTTTTACATCACTAATCATGTCAAAGACAAGACCAGTAATACATTTCAAGTGATTAACTGGAGACATTGATTACTTGGCCATTTCCAAGGCCCACTACAGGGTGATTCTGTTGTTGATTTAGGAGGAACGAGAACATCCTTTCCTGAAGTTGAGATTGTTGAGCCATTTGTTGCTGCATCATGAACATCATCTGCTCCATCTGTCGAAGTAGCATTTGCAGTAGTTCTTTGATTTCTCCGTTGGACTCTTGTTTGTCCTGCTGCAGAGAGGGCTGAGCTGCGACTGGTGCTGAAGCTGGTGCTGAAGCTGGTGCTGAAACTGGTGCTGCAGGTGGTGCTAGAGTTGGAGCTGCAGCTGGTGTTGAAGGTGGTGCAGAGACTGATGCAGCATAAGGTGCTGGGGCTGGTGCTGCAGCTGGTGCTGGTGCTTGAGCTGACCGAGCTTGAGCTCCTGCTTGTGCTGGTACTGTGGCCTGCGCCTTGGCTTCCGTTGCAGGGGCCACCACTGCTGACCTCTGCAGGTGTGGGAATTCCCTCACATCATCGACGCGCGGGGCTGGCTGGGACTTTTGTGGGGGGGAGGGCTGCCTGTTCTTTTTACTATTTGTTTTTCTGTCCTTTGGATAGTAAGGGCATAATGGAGAATTTGCATTATGCTCTTGTCGGCAGTTCACGCATTTCCGAGGGACATTTTCTCCTTCGGAAATCTTTTCTGCGCATTCAGAACTCCGTGTGGAAGAGCACAGTAACGGCATCGCGGTGCGTCTCGCGGACAAGCACGCGTCCCGTGGCCCCACTTTGAGCAATTGGAGCAAAAAGGGGTCAGGGATTTGAAGACGGCACACCTAAAGGGTGCCATGCCCTCGACCATTTTGATGCTTTTGGGGATTACCTCCCCCTCATAAGTTATGATGACTCTCTGGGTCATCATTCCATTTGTCTTCATGCGCCTCGCATGAATGATCCGTTCGTTGTAGGTTGTCATTTCTTGTGTTTCGATTTCCCTTGGGACATCGAACACAATGATGTTCGTGCATTTTCCCTTGCCGAACACTTTGGCTTTTACTAGTACTTCGCCGCATGCACCAATAGATGTTATTTGATCAAGGATTTCTTCGTTCTTGCATCTGACAAATACGTTGTTTCTTCCAATTTTAAGTTCAATGGATCCGTATGTTTTATTATAAGGGTCCATTTTTAGGGTCTTAGAGACCCAGCGATATTTGTCACCGTGTGTGCGCAATTTTGAATCGTTCTTAAAATGAGCGCATAAGTGTCCTGGAGGTGTTACCTCCACCGAAGCAGATAGCTGCCTCTTTGCTTTTTTTTTCATTCGTTCGGGGGCCCCACCAATGTCTTCCTCACTGAGAGCATTGTACCTCCCTCGGTTTCCATCGTCGCGTCTGCGGTCGCGGCCATTCCCCCGACCGCGAAGGGGCCAACCTGAGTGCCTGTCCTTTGAAAATAAACAGTCACGCACACGGGTCACTCACGGTAGAGAGAGAGAATGAAAGAGAGAGAGAGAGAGCGAATGAAAGAGAGAGAGAGAGAGAGAGAGAGAGAGAGAGAGAGAGAGAGAGAGAGAGAGAGAGAGAGAGAGAGAGAGAGAGAGAGAGAGAGAGAGAGCGAATGAAAGAGAGAGAGAGAGAGAGAGAGAGAGAGAGAGAGAGAGAGAGAGAGAGAGAGAGAGAGAGAGAGAGAGAGAGAGAGAGAGAGAGAGAGAGAGGGAGAGAGAGAGAATGAGAGAGTGAATGAGAGAATGGAGAGAGAG